ACAATTTGGCATGCAAGTAGACTACACTGAAATACATAAAATCAGTTTTGTGTTTTTGATTTTGATGAATGATGTTGCCATAGTAATTTAAATTGAAAATTCTGTAAATTTTTTTTATTAAAAGCTACTCCTACAGTTGTATTCTTATTGCAATCTTGCCACAAAGAGACTTAATCAAGGATCATTATTCTGTTTATTGCTTTTGTAAAGTTTTTAGTCCCAACTGCTACTTAGAATTCTCTTCCTTTATTATAAGAACTACAGTCTCGACAGAGACTTCCGGTCATACTTAATGTCACCAACCATTAATGAATGTACTGATGACGGTAAAAACTGATTCTGAGAAAATGCTCAATGAAGAATGCTGTGTTTTGTGCCCAGTTTGAACTGTTCATTAGCCTCGTCCACTTCTAAGATAAGACAAAGAAGATTTCTAAGGTCTATATGTCCTCTGTCTACAGCTGGGATGGGTATTATTAAATCATGCACCTGAAAGGGGAGTAAAATTTGAATGCTTCTCGTGATCAATTTGTCTGCTTGTTTACACATATGTGAAACACTGGCATGGCGCTTTCTTTGAATGTTCTGTGATCTACAACAAATATGACAACTGTTCTGATTATTGTTATCTGTTTGAAACAGAGCATTACAGATTGTGCATTCTCGTTCATATTTAAATAGACACCCTTCTATTGTTTCTGTAGGGTCTGTACCAAGATTCTTGGGGGCTTGGTCTTGTTTGAGAGGATATCTCTGGATTGTTTTTTTTTCAGATGACATGTTCTGAGGCTCAGGAATTTGTAGGTCTTCCTCTTGTTGAAGAGTGAGCAACATTTTCTTCAGGGATATAGAGGATGAGGACAATCTAATCTTTGGAGCACATCCAAACATTGCTTCGTATGGTGACCTTTTAATCCCAGAATAATCACGGCGATTTTTCTGAAACAGTGATCCACTTCGTTGTATGATAATCTCTCAACCAGCTTACTTACATATCATGAACATCACCATTTGATCTTTCGACACCTCCCAGAGATTGCAGATGGCTTGGTTTTCCATGAAAAATAATTAATTCTTGCCATATTTCAACTCAAATCAAAATCAATTTAAAAAAAAAAAATTATCTAATAAAAAATTGTTTTTCATTGTAATTCTATTTATAATGTTTCAATGCACCTTTCCACCAAAGTATTTTTTAAAATTCATATTATTTGAATTTTTATTAAAAAAAATTATCTGATAAAAAACAAAATTGTTTTCAATTGTCATTCTATGTCAAATGTTTCAATTCAACTTTCCACCACAGTACTTATTGGAATTCATATTATTTGAATTTCTATAAAAAAAAAATGCTTTCCCCATAGACTTCAATGCAATCTTTGTTAATTAACTAATGCTTAGTTAATGAACTTTTTTACTCTCTCTTATTTCGATGAACGGTGTTGCCTTTGTTTCTGGAAATAGAAATTTCTCTCAATTTGCTTTCAAAATGCTACACCTCCTACAGTTTTGATCTGATTTCAATATAACTTGGCACACAAGTAGACTACACTAAGATACACAATTCTTTCTATCGATTTTTGATTTCAAGGAATGATGTTGCCATGGTTACTAAATTTGTGAATACTCTAAAAGTTTATTAATAGCTACTCCTACAGCTGTAGTCTTATTGCAGTATCTTGCCACAAAAAGAGCTCAATCAAGCATCATTATTTTATTTATTGCTGTTGTAAAGTTTTAAGTCCCAACTACTACTTTTGTCTTCATTTGTTATAAGTACAAACCAGTAGAGCTTCAATCTCGAAAGAGACTTCTGGTAAAGTGTACATTTTGGTCAATTTTGAAGTGACCTTGAGAACACACCCTTAGCCTCATGGTAATTCCCCGTGCAAATTTTAATCTTCGACATATTTTGATTCTTTGTTTGTAAGTTTGACGAAAATATGCCTGGTGGTTATGGAGAAGATTTTTTAGCAAGCAGTACTTTTGGTTTTATTTTCCTGATTATCTCCCCTTGTTTAAAAGCCCCAACCCTAGTATTAGTGTAAATGGTATCTCTTGGGCCAAGGATACCCTGTGACAAATTTGACACTGATTGCCGAAGAGGTTCTTGGGCTATAGCCCATTTTCTAGAAAGTTTACGCACACTGCACAAATGGTCATAGCATGCGCTCTTTGAGCCTTTGGCTAAAAATATAAATCTGAAAATTGTAGATCAAACGAAAATAATGACAAAGAAGAAAAGCAGTTTAAGTTTAAATCGCCCAAAAATACACAAAAAACGAAAATGATGAATCTGAGTGTAGTTCGACATCACAAAAGCAAAAACGAATTGTATCAACACCATCAAATATGATTTTATTCCGCCCGTGGTGTACTAATTTTCATTGCACAATATTAGAATATAAGATCCTTTCAAAGACAGACACAAAAAACACCCACAAATGTTCCAGTCAGGAAAATATATAGAACCCAGTTATTCTCCGAATTATTGACCACTTGTTCTGAGGACGATTTTGAAATGTTACCATGATTATGTAATGAAAGAGAAAACACATGTAATATTCTCCACGAATTGTTTTTTTAGAATTGTCCCTCTGCGAGAGTTGAACATTTTATATGCTTCAAATAATTTCACAAAAAAGGTTTCCATGGAAAAATAGTACACATTCCGTGCTCAAGGATATTATTAAGTGCCACAACATAGAAAATAGTAATATTTACATTTCCAATGTCTTTGTCCGAGATAAAATTACCAAATGTTAATGTACTTTATTTCCCCATCAATGTATTGGCGCGGTTCCAAAAAAAAAAAACCCACGTGCAGAGCGGGACAAACAGCTAGGCCTAGACAGAAGCAGGGCTTGGAGCACGTGGATTGGCGGAATCAAAGCATGTAAATATAAGGAATAACTGTCAGATTTTTCAATTTCATGAAGATGATCAATCGATTGGCTTGCGTGATAATTTTATGTATAAACGCCTTCGGCATTTATGCAAATTATCACGCAAATCAATCGATTAATCACTTCATGAAATCGAAAAATAAGACAGTTATTCCTTAAATGAATCAAAACTTGTATGGAAGCTGGGTTGTCTGATGTATATCTGACGATAACATCAGACATCGATGCAATTTATCCATCTTCAACAAGACCTTGACCAACTTGTAGCATGAGAGGAGACTTGGAAAATGAATTTTCATCCAAAAAAATGCAATGTTCTCACTATATCCAGACAGGAAAAGGCACCCCATTATGAAGAATAACACCCTTCATGGTGATCAGCTTGAACATGTAACAACAGCAAAATATGTAGGTGTATCAATTACATCAGATATGAAATGGAACCAACATATATCCAATATCTGCCAATGATACCATCAGCTTTCTAAAACGTAACCTGAACATAAGAAATGCAAACATCACAGAAAAAGCCTACAAGTCAGCTGTAAGTCCTACCCTATGCTTGTACTACATGGGACCCATATTTCAAAGAGGATATATAAAAGATTGAGATGGTACAACGCAGGGAAGCCAGTACGTTACCAACCGATATCATAACACCTCGTCGGTCACCTATATGTTGGATACCCTGCATTGGGTCGCTCTGGAGGAGCGCAGAAGGAGGGCCAGATTAATTCTTTACAAGATCCAAAATGGACTAGTCGGAATAGAAACATTAGACAAATTAGTGCCGTCAAGACTCAGTCGAAACATTGGTATGCGCACCGAAGTGGCAGTGTTATCAGTGGTTGATGGTGGCTGCAGAGTGGTAGAAGTAGAAACCTCAGTATAGAAGCACACTTTCTCCAAGGACATGAATTACTCACTCTGTGTTACTCGATACAGGTATTCTTAGCAGCATTGAGCTGCGATGAATTTCAATTGTATATACTCCTTAGAATCTAATCATGCAGATTGAATTTGACTGCATATTTCAGTAGTTGTACCCCCTTGGATTTAATATAGGCTTATATAATTTGCACTTATTAATGGCATATTTTTTATATCCACGGATATATACCATAAACATAAAGAGTAGAATTTCAGAGACAGTAAACATTACCATTATGCACAATGAGGAGTAAAGACATATATCAATACTAGTAATTATATTTGGAGATAACAAACTCAGAAAATCAATGAAAGGGTTACTCCTACCTTTACTCACTGAAATAAAAATTTAGGAAAAACAAATTGTTATATGTATTCAGCGGATTTATATTCCTTGATTTTTTTACTTAGTTAAAGTGCAGTATTTATATTTTTAATGCCTCAATAGTTCACATTTTTTATACATGGAAAGATAAACACTCGGGTATTTATAATAACTTTTTCGATTTCCAAAATTTAAACTGTCTTTACAGTATGTTCTACAATTTACCATACTTGTACATGATAAAGTTTGTCCAAATGATTCAAAACTTATTTTTGAAAAGGAAAATTTAACATTTTCTGTTCATTATCATTGAACAAACACCTTTATTAACAATACGCAGCATTTATCTATTTTCTGAAGCCTTATATAATAAACATCAAAAATCAGAATGTGGCATTAAAGTCAAAAGAGTTGTTTGTACTCGAAAAAACAATTATTTATAATTTTTTATGCCCCCGTAAACGAAGGTTCGGGGGTATATAGTTTTGTCGTGTCCGTCTGTCTGTCTGTTTGTCCGGAAAAAACCCAACCTTGCCCATAGCTTTTGATTTAGTGGAGTTTGACTTTCATACTTCACATGTGTATTCCTTGTAACAAGACCTCTCTTTGGGAACCTCCGACCATGACCTTGGAGTTTGACCCACTTTGACACTAAAATTCTAAACTTTTACTGTGGCCATATCTTTTGAACAGTAGATACTAGGATATTTATAATTCACATATGTATTTTTTGTGGAAAGACCTTTTAATGGATATGAACAACCTTGACCTTGGAGATTTTTGTACTTATGAAAAAACTTAACTTTGGCCATAACTTTTGAACGGTAAGGGATAGGGCTTTCAAACTTCACATACGTAATCCTTGTGAGAAGTCCCTTCATTGGATACCAAGAACTTTGACCCTTTGAACTTGGAGTTTGACCTACTTTTAAAAAGCTAACTTTGACCATAACTTTTAAAGATGTATGGCTACTGCTTTCATACTTTACATATTTAATCCTTGTGACAAGACCTTTCATTTGATAGCAAGATCTTTGACTTTGACTTTGGCGTTTGACCCATTTTTTCACACAAAAATTCCAAACTTTTACTTTGGCCATATCTTATGAACAGTAGATACAAGGACGTTTATACTTTACATATGTAATCTTTGTGGCAAGACCTTATTCCTAATATAATTTGTGGGGGAAAAAATTCCATTTAGCCCCGGGGTTGAATGGGGGGGGGGGGTTCCTGTCCACAAGTACATGTGATATCCAAATGAAAATTATACCTTGGCAGGAAAACTTTGGGGTTTCCCATAAACCGTTCGCTAAACACGTTAACTGATTTCCTCCTACAGGAACTGTTCCTGATGCACATGTGTATCGTTTACTGTCACCCACGTAACTTTCCGATGTAAATGAACCATTGCTATGTAAGTTTCCTGGTAATGAGGCGTTGTATCCATAAAAAACCGGAGGTGGTTCGTGCACACACCCTATCAAGAAACAATTTTAAAAGCCAGTATTAATAGCAGGATGATTTGTAAAATTAACAACAATTTAAACAGTGCAATGCTTTCTTTCGTTCTTCTGTTGCAGATTTTGTGTGTGTGTGTGTGTGTGGGTGGGGGGGGGGGAGTAGCTGCAGTACAAATTCCCGTTATATCAAACAAAGACATCTTATCATTTATATCTGTAGTATTCGGTACAAATAATCATCTAAAAAGGATTTATTAGATGAAATAGAGTATTGTTGATTTTTGCATCATTCCACATTTCATTGATGAAACAATCACTGTTCATGTAATCTGTTAAGGTGATATGCTTATTGATAACTTGCAATGGTTTTCTTCCGAAATAATATGGAGATAATATTAAGTGGATGTAAGCCTATATATTATTTATAAGAATTGTATGTTGCAATCATTCCATTCTGATTGAAGTTTCTTTACAGTCACAGCCGTGTAAAAATTCCAAGATGATATAATCAGGGACTTTGTAGTGATTTTCGATTTTACGATGTAATGATTGCAAATGTTGTCCTATATTCTGCACTAAGGACCTTTGAGCTGGAAGGAATCTCTTTCGTGCCAGCACCCTCTGCGACACGGGATCTCTGTTTATGCGGTCTGCACGTCCTCATTCATAGATGAAATCGCTTACCAAATCAATGTATAATTTTGTATATCAACCGACAACTTGAAAAACTAGATATCATTGAGATGGTGGCCATCTCAAAGGGCCCCACTCTTAGCAATATGAGTATGAGTCACAATGGACCGATAGGAGAGAAAATTAATATGCTCCAAACAAGGATTTTGATATAATTCTGCTATGACCTTAACTTTGATCTAGAAACATGGTTCAAGGTCACTGCACACGCTTCACCCAAAGGCACTCTGTGAGTTAAGTATGACCCTCATTGGACCAAGGGGAGAGAATAAGAATTTTTCATATAATTCTGCTATAACTTTATCGTTAGAAACATGGATCAGGGTCACTGCACACCCTTTACCCAAAGGCACTCCGTTTGTGAAGTATGGGCCAGATTAGGCCAAGAAAAGTGAAAATATGCTACAGACAAGACTTTAAATAGAAAGGCTATTTTTGACCTTGACTCTTGACCTAAAAACTTTGCTCAAGGTCATTGCACATTCAATGACCACTGGCACTCTGTGAGTGAAGTACGAGTCGCATTGGACAAAGGGGAGAGAAGATATGCTCCGAACAATGATTTTTCATTTGATTCTGCTATGACCTTGACCTTAGACCTAGAAACATAGTTCAAGGTCACTGCACACCTGTTTCACAAAGGCACTGTGGGTGAAGTATGATCCAGATTGGGCAAAGGAGAGAGAAGATATGCTCCGAACAAGGATTTTTTTTTATCTAATTCTATGACTTTGACCTAGAAACATGGTTCAAAGTCACTGCACACCCGTTACCCAAAGGAACTCTGTGGGTTAAGTATGAGCAGACTGGCTGAAGTAGAGAAGATATGCTCTGGACGGACGGAAGGACAGACTGATCACTTTACGGCGCCCGCCCTAATAATGCATTTGTCTGAATAGAGATATAAAGGTGTTCAAGCAGTACCGTCCGGACACAACCGAACAGAAAGCGAACCCGGAGCGCACTCCGGGTTCGCTCGGGCTGACCCAGAGCGCACTCGTAGCGGACCCAGAGAGCGAACCCCAAATTTAATAGAGGTCCCATAAAGCAAACGCGCGTTCGATATTGCTTAATAAAATTGTCAATCAGGATTAGCGATTAACCAATCAGCGCGTTGACCGATCAAAATGGCATATAGATCTGTCAATTGGGATAAAAGATCAAATGCGAAATGTAAATCCAAATATTGTACAATGTACATGCAAGCAAAGTGTTAATGTACAATACCGACCGGACACAACCTAATACCAGACCGAACTCGAAGCGCACCCAGGTTCGCTCCCTGGGTCCGCTTTCAGAAATTTTGCCGCGTGCGCTTTGCGTTTGCTCCGCGTTCGTTCGAGGTCAGCTCTGGGTCTGTTGGAGCGAACCCGACGTTCGCCTTTCGCACTCATGCGTGAAGCGGACCCACGCTTTAATCTTGCCGCCAGTAAGCCCTGTCCCTTGTACCGTACATCCGTTTTTTATCGCGATGATCTATTTTTCGCTTTTTTCTGCGATCATTTTTAATTCGCAAAATATAATACAAGCAGAAATTATGCTAGCTATAATGTGACATAAAAACATTACCATCTTTAATCGTAAAAAAAATAACTTATGCAAAATAAAAATGTCCAAGTCTAACTTTTTTTGCAAAATTTCGAACACGCGAAAAAAAAACCCACATGTATATACGGTATATTCCAATACAGTAATGGAATTGATCATTGTTGTTTTTGCGACGATCGATAAATGTACACTTTACATGGTTAAAATGACAATGTGGAGTACATCGATAAATTTTCCAGAATTCCGCTGTACATTCGACGTAGAAATGTAAGTGACGCTGATTTCCTAATATCTCCGGGCTCGGAATTTCGAACCCGAGAAATTGTAAGTTTTATAACAGCGGGATATTATTTTACACGTTTAACGCGGGAAACTAGAAGAGGAAGAAAATTGAAGGTGTTGAATTTATCTTTAATTTAAACAATATTTTATTCACTGATGGTATCGTGAATAGGATTGGGCAGCAGGCGCAGCCTATTTTAGCCCTCTCCCTACATTTAGGTCAAAGTACAAAACAAATAGTAATAATTAGAGAATGTACAAAAGAAGAGAAAAAAAAAACACAAACAAAAATGAACAAAGTAACAGAGAAAAAAAAATACAGAAAAAGTCATATAAAGAAAATAAAATGATTTATCTTTAATGCATCGGATGTAGTACTAGTGAAACTGACGAGAGCATCAAAACACTTTTCAAATTCATGCATAAAATAGTTTAAAATCTATTTGATATTGCTGTTGTTTTGCTAAATTGTAGTTTAAATTATTGAAAGACAAACACATTAATTATGATATTATCTGATCTATTACTCACGGTTCTTCGGATGAGACCGTATAAACCGAGGTCCCGTGTCGGCAGTAGGTGCTGGCACGAAAATGATCCCTCACTGCTCAATGGCCCTACATGTAAGTGCTGAGTATAGGTAAAAATGTGTAGCTCTCCACCGGCAAGTGGTGGTGTCTCCGTATGAGTGAAACGTTTCGAGAGGGACGTTAAACAACATACAATCAATCATATCTAAATATGAAGTGAGACACATACACGTAAATATATGTTAAGTGTTCATTTATAGCAGTTTCACATCAAGGTTTCTAACACATATTTAACTGAAAATTTTTGAAAAAAAAAACATTTGATAACCAGAAGTCTCTGTCGAGACTGTAGCTCTACTGGTTTGTACTTATCAAAAACCATTGCACTATTTTATGTATCTTTGTGTAGTCTACTTGTGTGCCAACCTATTTTGAAATCAAACTAGAACTGTAGAAGGAGTAGCGTTTTTAAGGAATTTCACAGAAAATTCTATTTTTAGTAACCATGGTAATACCGTTAATCGAAATCAGAAACAGATGCACTATTCTATGTATCTTAGTGTAGTCTACTTGTGTGCCAAGTTATATTGAAATCAGACCAGAACTGTAGAAGGAGTAGCGTTTTTAAAGAATTTCAAAGAAAATTCTATTTTTAGTAACCATGGCAAAACCGTTCATCAAAATTAAAAACTGATGCACTATTCTATGTATCTTTGTGTAGTCTACTTGTGTGCCAAGTTATATTGAATTCAGACCAAAACTGTAGAAGGAGTAGTGTTTTTAAGGAATTTCACAGAAAATTCTATTTTTAGTAACCATGGCAACACCGTTCAACAAAATCAAAAACCGATGCACTATTCTATGTATCTTAGTGTAGTCTACTTGTGTGCCAAGTTATATTAAAATCAGACCAAAACTGTAGAAGGAGTAGCGTTTTAAAGGAATTTCACAGAAAATTCTATTTTTAGTAACCATGGCAACAAAGTTCATCGAAATCAAAAACCGATGCACTATTCTATGTATCTTAGTGTAGTCTACTTGTGTGCCAAGTTATATTGAAATCAGACCAAAACTGTAGAAGGAGTAGTGTTTTTAAAGAATTTCACAGAAAATTCTATTTTTAGTAACCATGCCAACACCGTTCATCAAAATTAGAAACCGATGCACTATTCTATGTTTCTTTGTGTAGTCTACTTGTGTGCCAAGTTATATTGAAATCAGACCAAAACTGTAGAAGGAGTAGCGTTTTTAAGGAATTTCACAGAAAATTCTATTTTTAGTAACCATGGCAACACCATTCATCGAAATCAAAAACTGATGCACTATTCTATGTATCTTAGTGTAGTCTACTTGTGTGCCAAGTTATATTGAAATCAGACCAAAACTGTAGAAGGAGTAGCGTTTTTAAGGAATTTCACAGAAAATTCTATTTTTAGTAACCATGGCAACACCGTTCATCGAAATCAAAAACTGATGCACTATTCTATGTATCGTAGTGTAGTCTACTTGTGTGCCAAGTTATATTGAAAACAGACCAAAACTGTAGAAGGAGTAGTGTTTTTAAGGAATTTCACAGAAAATTCTATTTTTAGTAACCATGGCAACACCGTTCATGGAAATCAAAAACCGATGCACTATTCTATGTATCTTAATGTAGTCTACTTGTGTGCCAAGTAATATTGAAATCAGACTAAAAATGTAGGAGGAGTAGCGTTTTGAAAAATTGTTTACAGACAGACGGACAGACAGACGGACAGACAGACAGACAGACAGACGGACGGACGCCGGACGCATTACTATCACATAAGCTCTTCTGGTCTCTGACCAGTAGAGCTAAAAATCAGATCTTTGTCGCGCTCGGAAATACAATTTTGTACAGCGACCATAAGAATTTCGGAGCGTAACAAAGATCTGATTTAAATCAGAATTTAATAAAACCCCACAAAAGGCACAACATATATTAATTTGCTCAAGTTACTTTCAAGTAAATGTTTTTACTGGTTCATGCCCCCTCACCCTTCATATACATGTATATCACAAATAAATGAAATTGAAAATGATTTTTCAAAAAAGGTATTTCTAATTATTTAAACATAATTATGAAAATGATTCTTTAAAAAGGATATTTCTAAATATTTGAACATAAATAAATACAGGGAGATCTAGACCCCCAAAAAAATCGTAACCGTAAACTCTCATGATTAACTAGATTTAAAGATAACGTCCGATGGGTTTTTAAATATACGAGTCTCTTTGTTTTCTATGAACCTGCTGTAGTTTCATTTTCAAATGATATACAGTACAATGTATATTTAATTTTTACTTTTCGTTCTCAATTAAGAAGATCGATAATTTTGATGTAGATTTTCAAAAGAATATGTAAATTGAGATAATAGAAATAAAATAATTGAATGAGGGCACGCACATATTCCTGTACTGTATTCTAAGATAATGAAATTATACAATTTGTCTTTCCTTCCCATGTTCAGTAACAAATGTCATACACTAAGCAATAATACTAATAATTTATAGATGAGATGCCATAACTCGCGTGTGTGTCAAACATTTAAACTACGATTTAGCAAAACATGTGGAATAACAAATAAAATTTTCAAACTTATGTAACGCATGAATTTGAAAAGTATTTTCTTAAGATGCTTTCGTGAGTTTCACATGTACTCCATTCGATACATTGAAAATAAATTCAACACCTTTTCCTCCTGTTCTATTTTTGTTTTCGCGTTATAAATAAAGACAAAATAAATGCCTGATAGCCCGCTTTGAAATAACTTTCTCGGGATCGAATTTTCAAGGGTGCCTTTTTAAAAGTTGTGAAATGTGTCGCTCCAGAGTCCGAGGTTTCCAGTGGCGGATTTAAGGGGGGGCGCACCCGGCGCGCGCCCCCCCCCCCCAAATTGTCAAAATTAACGTAAATCACAGTTTCGTCTAGAAAATGTAAATATGTATACTTGGTAGACCTTATTTTTACCCTACAAAATCTCTAGAATCCAGGAGCTTCCGGGGGCTTCGCCCCCTGGGCCCCCACCAGGGCTTTGCCCTGGACCCACTGGGGGCCTCAAGGCGGCCCCCAGACCCCTTGCCTACTTTTGGCGCCCCCTCTAACTTCAATTCCTGGATCCGCGCCTGGTTTCCGTAGGAGGGGGCACTGCTGATTATTGCTGAATATTACTGATAAGTTGAATGCAATTTTTTGTCTACTAGCTCTGCTTATGGGTATTAAGTTACCAAAGTAACTATTTAGTTAGTTTATTAATATCAAGGAGCAGAGAAGACGATTTTCAAAGAACTAGTATGTTTTCACTACAAAACCAATACAGCCCCGCCCTTACACTAGACCCACTCACCCTGGAACCATGAAATCCACAATTTTTTCACAATTTTAGAAGAGGCAACCTTTCTAATCATAATTACGCAATGACGTTGCGCACGTTGTTGGTACACATTGACGTTACGTCAAAATAACGTAAAAAAAGTCATAACGTTTTTATAACGTTTTGAACCTGCATATTATAGATCTTTAAATGAATTTTATTTTTCAAAGATATAAGAAAAAATTAAATAAAAGGGCACATAGTGTTCAATGTTTGAACCTTCTTTTTTGAAATATTTATATGTTTATTAATAGATCTTAATAATAAAATTTTAATTACTGAAATGCCAAAGGCACTCAGTGAATATTCCTCTTTCTATTTTTCTCACTTGTCTGTCTTAAAAGGAGAAAATATATAAGTAGCTTTCCCTTTCAACCTCCTTCAATATTTTTTTTCAGTTAGGTCATTACAAGTCTTTTATTTCTATATAGCGTCCGCATGCGGTTTGGGTGTATAGAGAAAAAAATTATACTTCCTACGTTTCAGTGGAAATGGTGTCATTTTGAATAAAAAAAATTAGTATCAATTTAGTATATTGAGGGGTTGAAAGAAAGGAGGGATGGAGATGTTTCACCATTATTGAAAATCTGGTTTATCACGAAAATTCTAAAATCTTTTTACTATTTTTAGTGAAAGAAGGGGGGGGGGGCTCTTATAATGCATACTTCGTTTATTAGGGTATTTTTGTGGTACGATATCATTTTGGGATTTTCATAATTTGTTTTCCTTTGGTACATGTACACATGATGATTAAGTGTAATAAATATACTTTGTGAAAAAAATCTCCAACAAGCTCCGGGGTTGAATATTGGGGGTGGGTGGGGGTGGTTCCTGCATGACCACAAGTACCTGTGAGCTGGTACTACGGACCTGCATGAAAAAAGCCACGGCAATAAAAATTTGACGCTCCTGACGTCATATGTACGCATTGCGTAAAATGACGTTTTTCGTACCTGTGACAAAATGGCTACACTTTTATTGATGCTTGCATTTATTTCATGTAGACCATTACTGTAAAGATTGTGTAATTTGTAAATGGAGCATTAAATGTTCTTTCAAGCTACATACATGATTGCTTTATATCTTACATAAATCTATATATTTTTGATATGTTACTGAGACATATTTAGTAACAATACAGTGACTCTTGCGTGCATAACAAAATGGCTACACTTATGAAAGCCTTCCTAATATTTACGTTGGAAAAGTAATATAAAATGTATCAATCCACTTAATCTAAGAAATATATGTACTAAAAGATTATTCACCAAAATTAATATTTGTCTGGGATTTATGTCTGGTACACATCTCCATTTCGGCTAATGTCAGTGTAAGGAAACGATTTCTTACTGTTAGACATTTTACTTACGCACTGTAGATCCAGTCTAAATTCATGAAATTGATAAAATGATGTTAAAAACTCAACAATATCTTAAAGAATGCATATATTTTATTGTACCCCCTAAATTTCATTTAATCCAGAGAGTTGTAAGTGCATTTTTTCACACCTTTTAGTTGCGCGACCAATAATTGATGTAACGTCGGACATGGGAATTTCGCCGTAAATGACCAATATTGATTAACGCCTCATCAAAGTTAAAATAATTTTAGATTATTTAAAAGAAATTTTAAGAATTATTCATTACTTTAGATAACATAAATGATTTTATTTTTAATTTAAAGTAAATATGACATCGCGAAACCGCCATTTTCTTTGCGACATAAAGAGTTAGATATTATAGTACCAACACCGTGCGCAACGTCATTGTTAGTATCATGTTTAATGCCCAGGAGCAGAGAAGAGGATTTTCAAAGAATAAATACATTTTGACTATATAATTAATATAGCCTCGTCCTTATACTAGAACCCCTGACCCTGGGGCCATGAATTTCACAATTTTGGTAGAAGAGTCAGGGCTTATTACAATCAAGCCAATAGTTTGACTGCGTGATGATTAAGAGGAAAGAAGATTTTTAAAGATTGCATTAATTTTAATGGTTTTTGCCTACCCTTCAGGCCCCAGTGGGGACAGGGAACATTGTTCCATTTCGCCCATACATGCTTTATGGAAAAAACGCAGAACCTGAAAATGTTCAAATGTTAACACACGACGGACGAAAACAGATAGCTAGAGGTCACTCAGGTGACCAAAAAAAAAATATTGGATTTTTTTATTTGTACATAGTGCAGTTAATACCAATAGACTACTGCCACATCCATACAATATGCAACATCACTATAAGCACGTTAAGAACTCATTTCTAAATATAAATATAGCATATATTCACCAAAAATTAGGCAAAATGATTACTTCCACGTACTGTAGCTTAATTATATATATACCGTGGTTGTAAATATTAATAAGAGATTAGCATCTAATTAAGTAGTCTCCTCATGTTGAAAAGAGCTGCTATATTCCTCATTGAAAATGTAAAACTTGTAGTAGTTTCCCCATATAATATTGTTGATTATGTACAGATAACTCACACTGTTTCCAAAAAAAAAAACACCCCTAACTATGATACAATAAGGTTTATCTTCGACTTGATAGTTGTATAATGTGATCTTAAAAAAAGAATTGTAAATATACTAACTTGAATTAATACATGTAGTTTTCCCCGAGCGTAGAACTATACATCTCTTTCCTGGTAGACATGCAACAGTACTGCAAGCTCCTGTGATGGATATTACATCCTAAAAATATAATAATTTCATATGGGCGCACATTAAAGCTGTTTTCTGAATGAATCAATGCATTTTGTATTCAGATGGGGGGGGGGGGGGTTCGAGGGGGACACTTAAAGAAGGGCTTAATTCTTTTTTTTCTTTTGATAATTTTAAAATATGTAAGAATTAATACCATAATATACGAAAAATTTGAAAATATATGATATTCATTGTGTGGTAATGAGATTCACGGAGCAATCACTTGATTCCAGTTAAGTTTTTGCACATTTTTAAATACGTTTCATTCTGTAGACTGTTAATGTCTGTTCCATCCTTAAAAATGGAATGACGTCAATAGTGAGACATAATTATTCTTGTCTGAAATGTCCTTTGTGGGGTCCACAGGAGCAAAGTTCGTGGGATATTGGAATAGCGAATGGACAGGGTCTTCAAATTTGTCTACCCTACCATTCTAACAAAGAAGATGGTGGGGATAAGGCGGGCAGAATGCTTATAGCGTCAGATATTAAGAAATCGCATTTGATATGTAAATTGAGTAGTTAAATTTACCTCTCATTATTGATATTTATGAAATTATGAGAAAAAACATTTTCTGAGAGAAAATAAATCTCTTTAAAAAATTTCATATAAAAAAAATATTAGATGGTATACGTGGGATTCGACCCCAAAATACCGAAGTATCATATTGCTTTGAGACTAACGCGCTAACCACTATGCTACATGGCTCATGATGATTAAGGGCATTTAAATCATGTTTGTGATATGACCCTTGAATTAATGGACTTGAAGTATTTCTCGGAAAGGTGCGAATGTTTTGTCATAAAAGTGTATTTTTAAGGTATAGTGGGTCTTCGCTCCATTTTTTTGTAAACCAAAAAATATTTATTTTATCGCAAACTTTTAGGATTATCTTTCAAAAAAATGGAGCGAAGACCCACTCATATTAAAAAAGTTTGTTAAAGTATGAAAAAATTATCGTTTTTGTTCTTTAAAGTCTGTGTTTGCTTTTTCATTGGCAAATATTTTCAGTCATTGTGAGATTTTTGTAAATTATAGCGATTTAACATTAAGTATACTTTAATATTAGATGAAATATGAAATAAAATTTGGATATAATTGAGATTAAATTTTTCACTTCTTATCTGTCGCGCTATAGGCATCCTGCCCGCCTTATCCCCCCATCTTCGTTATTACCATTTAAAAACTTTTGTCCTAGATATGTATAGGCAGTTCCTACAGCATCTTACAACATTCTAGTGTCTTGGGTATTTTCCTCTCGGTAGATTTAAGTATAATAGATCCATGCTCTAATAATCTCGATGACGTAGAACACTTTTTTTTGTTGCCATTCTCGCCTACTTTATTAATTTTACGCAGTGATAATCTTTAATTGACAATAAAAGAGTCCCTCCACTGAAATTCAAAACTTGGCCGAAGAGAAGTTGGGGGGGGGGGGCTCGAGGGGGACACTTAAAGAAGGGCTTAATGTTCTTTTCTTTTCTTTTTTTTTTTTTTGATAATTAATATGTAAGAATTATTACATAATATACGAAAAATTTGAAAATATATGATTTTCATTGTGTGGTAATGAGATTCACGGAGCAATCACTTGATTCCAGTTAAGTTTGTTCACAATTTTAAATACGTTTCAGTTCTATAGACTGTTAATGTCTGTTCCATCCTTGAAAATGGAATGACGTCAATAGTGAGACATAATTGTTTTTGTCTGAAATGTCCTTTTTGGGATCCACAGGAGCAAAGTCCATGGGATCTTGGAATAGCGAATGGACTGGGTCATCAAATATGTCTACCCTACCATTCTAATAAAATTATTACCATTCAAAATCTTTTGTCCTAGATATGTATAGGCAGTTTCTACAGCATCTTAAAAATTCTAGTGTCTTGGATATTTTTCTGTTGGTAGATTTTTTAAATTAATAGATCCATGCTCTAATAATCTCGATGACGCAGAACATTTTTTTTTGTTGCCATTCTCGCCTGCTTCATTAATTTTGCGCATTGATAATCTTTAATTGGCAATAAAAGAGCTCCTCCACTGAAATTCGAAACTTGGCCGAATGATGTATCATAAATATTGTACTGATAGGTTAAATATTAATTTTTGCAAAGATACACTAATTTCTTAAAATAGAGATCTTCCCACACTTTATATAACAGCCCTCGTTTAAAAGTTAATTGTATATTTTGCATTGCAGAAAGTTTTGATCCCCCCTCCCCCTCCCCCCCCCATTTTTTTTATTTACATAGAAAATGAATTTTCTCCCTACAAAGAACGTACCGGAGGAATAGATTGCCTCGAGATGTAGATGAAGTCCTCCGTTTCACTTGTGTTTTCCGTGACGGCAAGATTTCCAGATTCCTGTTGTGAATTCATCTCACATAAAAGCCGAGTTCTACTAAAATTAATGGAGAGACAGTCGCTATGGACGAAACACAACTTCAAGCATTCTTTTTTGCTCACCGGGCTTTCTCTTTTGAAATCGAATCCAAGTAACCTACGCCCTGCTTTCACGGAAATAATACACATCCAAAAAATTACACTCATATAATTCATTTTATAAAGTAATAAGTCACTCTAATTTTAGATTTGACTTAGATCTCCTGTTTTGAATTTTCTCGGTGATTGAATTGGTCCATTTTATAGTGTAACTTACTTGGTCTAAATATTTATCCCTATGACACACTTGATCACAGTATCAATAATTCATATGCAATTATCCTGAGCCGAATGATGCATCTTTCATTTCTGATTTCCAATACATGTTTATCCCTGGTTTTATTAAAGAATAGAAAATGAATATTCAATTAACTGTGTATTTTCAAATGTCAGATGAAGTTACATTATTGAAGAATTCCACTCTGCAGGAATAGCATTCTTTACAAATACACTGTACTGAAAACAATAATGAAAACAGAAATCTCATTTGTCACAACTCTGATCCTCGTCTTATATGCTTTGCTTGACTTGACAAAATGAAATGATTTATTTTCCTTATATTTTCGCAACTCATAGATCCAACTGATTTCCGATAGTACAGAAGGGCTCATACAATTTGAAACGACTGAAGCTATTAAGGATTTCCATCCCTAATAGGACCAAATTCTCTACCCTTAAATATTCAAGTACATAATACTCTGATATTTAATTAAAGCATTTTATAGTAAAAATGGATTGCCCGCGAGAGTCAAAAATTTCATTTACTAAGCAGTAGTTAATTAACAAAGATTGCATTGAAATCTATGGGAAAAACATTTTTTTTTATACAAAAAAAAAAAAAATATGAATTCCAATAAATACTGAGGTGGAAAGTTGCATTGAAACATTTGACATAGAATGACAATTGAAAACTATATTTTTATCTGATAATTTTTTTTAATTGATTTTTTTTAAATGAAAATTCAAACAATATGAATTTCAATAAATACTTTGGTGGAAAGTAACATTGAAAGATTAGAAATAGAATTACAATGAAAAACAATTCTTTATCAGATAAAATTTTTAGAAATTGATTTTGATTTGAGTTGAAAGAAAAATGGCAAGAATTAGTTATTGTTCGTGGAAAACCATGCCATCTGCAATCTCTGGGAAGTGTCGAAAGATCAAATGGTGATGTTTATGTTATGTTAGTAAAGCTGGATGAGAGATTATCATACAACGAAGTGGATCACTGTTTCAGAAAAATCGCCGTGATCAGTTGGGATTAAAAGGTCACCATATGAAGCAATGTTTGGATGTCCTCCAAAGATTAGATTGTCCTCCTCCTCTATCCCTGAAGAAATGTTGCTCACTCTTCAACAAGAGGAAGACCTACAAATTCCTGAGCCTCAGAACATTTCATCTGAAAAAACCAATCCACCTCTCAAACAAGACCAAGCCGAATCTTAGTACAGACCCTACAGAAACAACAGAAGGGTTTCTATTGAAATTTGAACGAGAATGCACAATCTATAATGCTGTTTCCAACAGATAACAATTATCAGAACAGTTGTCATATTTGTTGTAGATCACAGAACATTCAAAGAGAGCGCCATGCCAGTGTTTCAAATATGTGTAAACAAGCAGACAAATTGATCACGAGAAGCAATCGAATTTTACTCCCCGTTCAGGTGCATGATATAATGTAACAATACCCATCCCAGCTGTAGACAGAGGACAGAGAGACCTCAGCAATTTTCTTTGTCTCATCTTAGAAGTGGACGAGGCTAATGAACAGTTCAAACTGGGCACAAAACATAGCATTCTTCATGGAGCATTTTCTCAGAATCAGTTTTTACCGTCATCAGTACATTCATTAATAATTGGTGACATAAATTACAAAATGAAATTACTGTTAGGAATGCTTCTCGGCTACAATCTGTTGGGGGTGGACAAGGCTTCACGAAATGTACACTGTACATGTACATGTAAAAGTGGCTTCATCAAAAGAACATGTAAATGTCTAAAAGCAAATTTACTTTGTAACTCTAGGTGCCACAAAAGTCTGTCTGTCACAATAAGTAAACGAAATGTTTTTAACACGTATGTTTTTCTTTTTTATATGAATGTAAAGTATGATTTTTAAAATGTATCTCCATATATTTTACTCCTATTGGCATACTAAATTCAATTTTTAAATACTTTTATATATGAAGTCGTTGTTTTTAGAAGGATATAAGTAATACAATATGGTTTAGTTAAAACGTGTAAAACTCTCTAAAATTTTCGGTATTTCCTAACCCGTTCAGTGATTACATGTATTTCTTAAAATAGCCAGTAAATACAGGTATTTACTGAACGGGTTAGGAAGTACGTGAAATTCCTAATTATATATTTACTGTAATATATAAACAAATCTTTTTTCCATATCTTTTTATTATTTGCTTCAGTTCATAATTTAATAATTTTGAAAATCGGGGGGAGGGATCGCCCGACCCCCCCCCCATCCCACCAATCTGAGCTTCCTTCTCTTTTTCCTTCAGCGGGGGACACAAATTCTCTGAATAAACTTGTTTTTTAACACATCATTTGCTGATTTAATCAGAGCTTTTTTCTTCTGGTGTTTATTTATATCTCCACACTGCTGACTTGAGATACATTTCTCTTGTCTGCACTGTCTTGAATTATGATCCAATTTAAAATGACAATTTGAACATTGCTTTCCAAATTCGGGAGTATTATTAACACAAAATTTGTCTCTCAAATTTTTGTAAATGCCCCAAAGCACTTTCGTTTTGGACCTCAGGCTCCAAAATTTCTTGTTTTAAATTATTCACCGAATGTTTTATAAGCGTTTGATATGTGAAATTTCGAAATATATCCTTTTTCTGCACAAATAACTGAGTCTCTGACACACTTTTAGGCGTTTTATGCATAGGTGGCTCAGGAACTCCTTCTTTCACTTTAATAGTTATATTTGAATCTGTTGATGAGAAAAATTTCAAAAATCGGTTGTTCTGTTTTTCTGTCAAATCGACAAAAAAGTTTTTCTGTAAAATCGAAGTAATTCCCCGCTTCATTGCGGTATGATAACATAGGTGTACACATAAGACCAATAGATTTTATTTCGGAATAAGTGACACTTTTTAATCCAATAAAAGAACTAAGTCCCGTAAAGTCTACCAACAAAGGGGACACGCGTTTCACTTCGTAACTGTAATTATATGAAACTGTTCTCCTTTCAACTTTCTGATAAATAACTGTCACTTTCGTTTCCCATCATTTATTTCCATCAACATTGGTAAAGGAAATCGTAGAGGAAAGGGAAAAGATTGACTACAACAAACAAAATAAACAGAACTTACAATGCTGTACATTATATAAATGTGGCTGATCAAAATGATGCACTATTCAACTGATTGATAATACCGAGTACAAATATTACAAATACTTTATGTCATAAACTAGTAATGCATGATAGTGTTGAATAATTTCAGTGAATAGAAATTTATAAATGACAATAAAAATTTACCCTGTGAGAATGCTAAGTTACATCCTATGCTCAAACTGAATATAACCGTTATTTACTCCAAAAATACAGTATACAAAAAGATATGAAGTTAACACTGCATTCAGACAACCAAAAAAAAAAAGGTAATTACCGTGATTATTTTCCAACTCGTAGAAAAATATCAGGTAAAACAGCTCAAAATCAAAACAGCTTTTGGTATACATCGAAAAATCGTGCAAACATGGCGGGTTCACACGTCATAATTGAAAATTCCTATTCTGATAAAATTGCAAAAATAAATGAATCCGGATAAATTTGGACAATAACACAAAATCAATCTTACAGGAACATTTATTGCGTATTAAGGATATGGAGATAACGAATAGTGTTCAATTTCAAAGTCTACAAAACAATACAAAACAGGAGCAGAGCAAACACGGATCTCCAAAACATCAGTGGGATCAGGTACCATGGAGGAGATAGCATCCCCTGCCGCCCGGTCACACCCGCCGTGTGCTCCTTGTCATGATCGGGAAATAACAGAAAAATCCGTCGTTAATTCAGTGTATAAACAATGGACTAACAATTAGTATGAAAAACGTCAGTCAGCATTTGACTTAATGATAAATTGTATTTGCTGACAAGGTCATTGTATCGACCATAGAACTTACGAAATGATGACTTTAAACGAACCTGCTGATATTCCTGTTTCATCAACTTGTTTTTCAATAATTTAGCTAGTTTTAGAAATTGTTCATACGTAGAGCATGCTCTTGCATATCGAATCAACTGAGATATATAAACTCCGTATGCAAGTGATGAAAGTATTATATTGTTGCATAAGTAAGGAAAGTTGACAATACAAAAGTTAAAGTCATCATGTTTATCATAGAGCTTGGTTGTTAGATTACTTTTACCATTGACGTCTTTTTCAAGTAAAATATCCAAGTATGAAACAGAAGTGTCAGACTCTGTGGTATCTTTTATCTCAAGCTCACCAGGATATATCGTATCGACATACATTGTAGGAATGGAAATTACCATTGTTTATTGACAATACGTAATGCCACAGCAAATGTTTTCTTCTTTTCAAGCATAAGATTTTGCACAAATTCATCTTCATATGAATACAAAAATAGATCTCATAACGGAGCATGAAGAATACATCTCGAACACTTTCTTCAAACACCGCCGTAATAATCACGTTCTACGAGGGATGTTCAATAAATAATGTCACCGGTGCTCGGAAAGAAACGCTTTTCAATGATTTTATCTTTTTTATTTCCCTTAAAGTTACACAATGAGTCAAAATCACATGTTTGTTTCAAGATATCTGCAGCATACAGAGAAAGACATGAAAACCATGAGTCGAGCGAAGATACGACAATTAAACTGCCCTGTAAAGCAAAGAATGACTGCACAATATAAGCCCCGGAAAAGCAAAGGTTGTATCTACCGTTTCGTTATTTTCGTGTTTGTCAAGGTCACGCCACTTTAATTTTTAGCTCAAACTTGTAAACAACATTCAACTGGAGCATGAAAAATATGTTCAAACAACTTTTTAAAAAGATTGCATCAACATCTTTGGTCTACTTACATTCATTCCTGGGTACTTGAGACCACGGTGACTTATTCAACTTTTCTGCACACGCGTACAATAGGGAGGAAGAAGTAAACGCAGTACATTTGTATTTTTGTTATGGGACATACTGAAATTATCTTACTTTTTTTTCTCCATAAAAATAGATTTTTTTAGGTTCTGATACCTGTAATATTTTGAAACCTAATACTTTT